AAGAGTCTCGTAAATAAAAAAAAGAATAATTAAATGTGTGTGTATGTGCAGCAATCAAATTGCATTTTGTCAAAGCAGGAAAGTGCTGGAGAAGTTGAAAGACTCTTGTGATATAGCTTAGCCACCTTATTTTAATCTTCTCAAGAATTTTTTTTTTTTTTAATTTTTTAGATTTAGTACTTAACAATTTTTATAAGTCCAAATATATATATATACAAATAAGTATGATAATGATATCTAATATAAAGATATATATTTTTTTATTACGCCTTAAAATTTCTTTCTTATTTTTTTATCTTTATAGTAAAATTGTTAATGCATAGTATTGATTTGTAGTATAATGACAAATATCACATTATATTGCATTTTATACATTACACATAATATTATATATATATATATACATATAAGATGATATCTAGTATAAAAATTATATTGACAAGAATTTACATATCCTTATTAAAAAAAATTGTTCAAAGAACAATCTAGAGAGTGTAAAATAAGTTCAGAATTGCATGAAACCAATGTAAAAAGAATGAAAAATAACTTTTCATGACCAAAAGAGTCGCTTCGTACAAAAAACATAGAATTTACGAGACGACAAGGACACAAGTGTCTAATGTCTAATTAATCAATTGGATCAGGGAACAATTAGTTGACTATTAATATAGCAGGAAATGGTAAAAACATGGTAAAAACGCATTTATCATTCTCAATAATACCAAAGATCATTATCTAAAGACTTGTAATGATACACGAGACAAAATGCAAATCGAAAGCATGAGATATATATATATATATATATATATTTTTTTTTTTCTGGTGTAGTTGGGCCAGAGTTAGATCGTCCTCTAGTGTACTAGAAAACAGATACTACAGGATACAACGGCGTGGAGGCCTTCGATAGCGCGTATCGCGGATCGTGTGACGGCGACGACGCGTCGACGGTTACGCAAAAATTTTACTCCTGAAATATCTCGAAGAGGAAGAATCGTGTCGTCGCGTCGCGTCACATAGCGTCGCGCGTCGTGTGTCGTGTCGCGCCGCGACGCTTCCTCCCCGATGCACACATTACCTGGACAGATTCCCAAACCATGATACCACGTTCTCCTTACACACCATTGCCAGACAACATTGATACCAATTGGGTGGGAGGAAAGTGTGGAGCGACGGAGCGGACGGTCAGCGGGCGGCCTCTTCTCTCTCTCTCTCTCTCTCGTTTTTTCTTCTGCTCCCTCTCTCTCTCTTTCTCTCTATCTATCTATCTCGCTCTCTCTCTTTTCTATCGCTCTCGTTCTTGCAGCGCGTAATCGGATTGACAATCGGATCCTTTGCGAGCGAGAACTGTTTCACAAGCGTGCGATGACACTCGTCGGTGTACGACGGTAAACCACGGCTGGTCTCGCCGAGGTGGCGACAGTAGTGGCGGTGGCGATGGCACGTCGCACCGTGTAAAGTGTTCACATTCGCAGCGGCCAGGCGAACGTATAAAATATCGTACGTCGGGAGATGCGTGTGGCGTGGGACGCGGACACTACCACGGGGACGGGGACGCCGAGAGATAAAACGACGACCGGGCCCGACCCGATTCGGAGAAGGTCGATGAGAGCGGCGCGATCGCTAGGAGACGACGAACGAGACTTCCTCTCGCGTCGTCGAAGGAACGCGTCAACGGCCGCCGCGCGCTCGCTCCCGGATTGTTCCCCCCTTTGTACGTAGGTCCCCCGCGTATATCCTCGGCGAAGAGCGAATAAACACGTCTCTTCTCTCGCACGATATGGGATATATATTCGCCGCCAAGCACTCTCGCTACGATAACTCGCGAATTCGCTCTCTGTCTCTCCGTCACGTATCCTCTCCTCCTTTTCTCTCTCTCTCTCTCTCTCTTTCGCGTACGAAATGCTACCACAAATGTGTCGGGCAATCGAGTCGCGAGACCGTTCATATGCTTCGCGTTCGAGAAGACATCGAAAACCGCGCGCAAGACGACGTTCTCATGTCACGACGACGAACGCGCGAGAGTCTAGTAAGTTACTAGAAATGTGTCATATATCGGACTGGACGTGTCCTATCTAGATATCCGCGCGCATCGTGACTGTTGATGCATCTGTCAGTTTTGACAGTTTATAAGAAAACGTGGGTGATTCCGGGCCCTACGGAGGAAACTGCTAAAAATTAAAGTAGGATAAGACAGTTTATATATAAGTCACATTAATAAATTAATTCTTATAAAGATTAATATTACTTCCTTAGTGTAATAATTCATATATTAGGCGTCTATAAGAGAAATGAAATAACCGATTGTTTTGAGGAACGCTGTTAAAACATTTTCTTTTATATGTACGAATACCCTTTTAAAGCAGCAATCTACGAATTTATCTAAAAAAAAAAATTATGGTAAGTTTTTATGCTAAAGAAATAAATTATTTGTTAGATATATGAAGCTGTAATATTACAGAAAAACCTGCTTCATAAATTTACATTTTGGGGATGGACTATGAGAGAGATATGAGAATAATTCAAGGAGTTTGATCGCTTCAAATTGTGCATTATCCTATATTTTTTGTGTGTTTATTCATGAACATTGTATTGTCAAGAGTCGCTATATTGATCACTTCTAGATTCCTTAGTATAATTATCATTTTCCTTCTTGTGCTACTCTCTCTATTCACATTTCCTATGCAATCACATGAATATCTTAAAATTTGTAAGTGAGTGAAAAATAGAAAATATCATAGATAGTAATAGATCAAGCAGTTTCTATATCCATAATATTTTGATGACAAAGAGAAAAAGAGTATATATAATTTCTCTTTCTTTTTCATTCACATGTGCAATGACATTCTCTGAATAATTAGTTTATATAATTGGATACTTATAGCTATTTTCTTTTTTTAGAGAGAGATACAAAAAGATTATATATACATGCATATATATCTTTTCTATTTTTCTACATCTTGTTCAGATCTTTTCATTCAATCTATTCTTATTATATATGTATGGAAAATACTATGCTCTGAATGCATATCTTTTTTTTTTTTCTATTTAACATGGTGGCAAATGTGAGTAGTGGAAAAACATAGCAAAAAGGGAAATAACCATTAGAGAATCCAAAAGTAATTAATACAGAGATTCTTCTGATTATATTTATATATATGTATATGTGCGTATATCGTTAATACAAAGTTAATTAGTGTAAAGCTTCAGTATTTGATCTGGCTACATCGGAAACAGTCTGATTATCGTCCATTTGTTCCGCTATTACATTAAACTGTTCGCCGTTAACATACTGTCCTTCTTGGTACTGCGAAGGACTATAATCACTATATTGATTATGTTCTTGCTCCATCATGTAAGCGTCCATATTTGGATCGTTCGTATATTCCTCATTACTGTGACCCACTTCTTCCTGCTGCTGATACATCTGCTGATCCATAGTTTCCATTGTATTCGGCGCAAAGTTGTTTTCTGTAATATATCTCTGATTGCCCGATGAGTCGTACAAGTCGTTCGTCGGTTGATCGTTTCCCTTTGGCGCGTTCGCTTCTACTTGTTGACTGTTCGCGGTATCGTATTCCTGATGAATCGTTCGAGCATCGACTGGTAATTCCTTTGCATGCGACGGGGCTACTGAATCCATTGTAGTGTTATAATGAAAAGTTCCAATATCATCGTTAGTTTCCATAAGAGTTCCTCCTAGAAAATAATCGTTTTATTCAACGTGTTCGTACGTCTCGATTATATACAAAGTATGTGAATTATAAATAAATGTCACTACCTTCATGACTTGCAAAACTGCCTTGTATCTTATTTGACAAGTGTTCTATGTTGTTTTGTAAGTCGGCCATTTCTTCCCTGAGATAAACGTGTAATTGGATTAACGGAAAGAGAGAGAGATGAGATATGGGATTAAAAATATTACGTTTAACTATTAGCGAAAAATGAAAGTCACATCGAGCGTAGTATATAATTCTCATTTCGTTCTAGGATACACGTCGCTATTACTGTGCTGATAGAGTCGTTTTGGAAGTGTCTGACTTCTTTTTCGGAATTACTTTTACTTTTAGATCAACCTTAACGGTACGTTTCTTGCTCGAAGGCGAAGCGGTTTGCCCAACTGTTGTCACGTCTCTCTCAACGATTCCCTCTGTCAACACAGAATAGCCCCAGATATATATCGTGAGAAGTAGTGCATTCTTATCAACTATAATTAGCATACATAGTATTTACACGCGTTCGCGTAAAAATGAGCGTCATAGGCTACAGGTCAACATGTGCTTTTTTATAGGGAGAATCGATTTAATTAATCGCGAAACTAAATAAATTAGATAAATGTTTGACGATTGAAGCTGAAGTGAATTATATATCTTTGAGTTCCGCAAGTCGAACTGAGAATATACTTGTGTTTAAGATTGTTAGCTTCCAAACGCTGTGTGAGAGATTGGCATTCGGCAGTCAGTCTCGAGACGAGCGTGGCTTGACTATTCAGGGCCTCTTCTAGGCCCGCCACCGTGGCAGCTGCGAAATTTACGTTGCCTGATCAGCCTGTTGCGATGTTAATCGACTAATCTCAATCTCCGCCTATGCTAGGCATAGTGTCAGCATGCCGATTTCTCACACACATAGAGAGATATCATTCTTAAGACAAAATCATGTCAACACACAGTAACACCCTTCACGGACAATATACCTAACATAGGCATATTTAGGGCGATATCTTACCATGCTTAGTCCCCATGTCCATTATCATTGAAGTCAATTCCTTTTCGTTTTCCAATTTAGGCGTAATCTCTTTATGATTATCTTCGGCACGTACGATCTTATTCATACTGATCTAAAAATGTAGACAAATTTATTTTAAATTGTCGCATTTTATTGAAACTTTTTATAATCAATAATCTTTTAATTTTTTTGTTATTACCGATAACGGAGATATTATCATTTAATCTAAAAATGGCACATATTCACCTCTTTCTCCAAAGACGCTATTTGCTCCATCAGTCTTAGATTTTCTCGCCTGCAATGTACCAGATCAGCATCCGCTCTTTCCAGACGCTGCTTGTACGAATTTATCTCTGCCTGCAATCTACTCTGCTCTTGACGAGCTTGTCTTTCGTTTCGTTCAGTTATCAATTTGCTGGTTAAAATTTCCTGCTCCGCCGCGTCTTTCTCGCTTAATGCCTGATTAAGATCGCTCTGCAAGGTAGCTGAGCAAAGTAAAAATATGTTTTTTATATATATAATATTGCGCAAATAATTAGATCTTACATATGTAAATATACAAGGTGCTTTCGGTATTTATTTATAAATTATCGTTATGAAAAGCTGCATAAACTTACATATCTTATTTTGCAACTCTTTTTTCAGATTATCGATAGTTGTTTGCTTCTGAGATAATTCTCGTTTCAACTCATTAATCTCCCGTCGTAGTTTTTCGGATTCCAATTGCGACTTATTAGCGGTTTCCCAATGGGACGCGATATCGGCGGTGAATTGCTCGATTTGCTGATTGTATCGACGCTCTATATGTTGCCTTTCCTCTGTTATACGTCTATTCGCTTCTTGGGCGGCTTCCCGTAACTTCTCGTGTTGCCTTTCTAGCTCGTCCTTCAATCTCCGAATCTCCATTTCACTCTGACTCCTTTCGAACTCAATCTGTTGCCTCTCGTCCACAGATCGTTTCGCTTTTTGCGTCGCCTCAGTCTCTTTGTCTCTCGCGGTCGACAACAATTTCTGCAGTTCCTCCAACTTCATCTCGGCCTCGTATTTCGCGCGTAGAGCCTTGTCCAATTCGATTTTCAATTCGATGCTGCCCTCATTCGAGCTAGTTTCGGACAAACGTTTCAAATTTGTTTGATTCTCTTCCTGTGCCTTCCGCAATTCCAGTTTTGCCTGCATTAACTGCGCCTCCAACTCGCTGATTCTCGACTCGAACATTATACTGGGTCCTTCCAAAAATTTTTCTCGTTTGCTTTCCAAGTTATCGACATGATGATCGCTCGTGTCCTGCTTGTGATACTCTTGATCCGTCTGACCGGTACAGTGATCCTTGTGATTCTGCAGAGTGCACTTGGACGCCGTTTGATTCCTATTATGCAATGCTTCGTTTTCGGCTACAACCTACGAAAAATCATCAATCAAGTTTTATCGCAATTATTTCTCTAGTCTTAAATTGCATTGTGAATCAGAGAGAAGCTATCTACCTCGCGAACTTTGCTCAGCAAATTGATCAATTCGTCTCTGCAATATTGAGATTCTCGTTCCAGTTGCTCGATATAGTCCTCCTGCCGTTCGATAAATGACGTTAACTCTGGCGGAATAGATTGGAGATCGGCTTTTGACAACGCTATATTACTATACGCCTTCGATGACTGAATAGTCTTCGAAAGAGGAGGAAAAGTATTTGAAACCGCATTTCCACGCAGATTCTTCCTCGGAAAACTATCGCTGATCATGCTCTGATCATCCGTGTCTTCTCCAGACTCACTAATTCGCAGGTTACTGCTTTTATATATGCTCCGAATACTTTGCGGCTTCCTATAGAAAAATTATGTGTGTTATCCCTTTATCATATATGTATACCTTATTGTTTATATATATAGGATATAATTACAAATTTTATATACGGACGCGTAAAAAAATTGTAGTGTAATTTTTAGAGATTTCTAGGAAACATATGATATATTAAATAACAATATATATAGATAAGATTATTCACATATTAAATAATAATTATTCTAATTAAATAATCGGTACAATCAAATTTAAATATGAGATCTTCCTTAAATTTATAAAGCACATTTTTAAATATTTACATAAATAATATAATATAAATGTCATATGGTTGATTATTACAATTTGATTTCTAAATTTTATTTCATGTGAAAATTTATACATAAATTTATTTTATCTTCTCGTTCAATTTTATTTGTGGTATTGATTATGTGTAATTATTTAACCGTTTATTGTTTTCTTCGTCAACTTACATTCCAGATATTCCTGTTGGCGCGTAAGATTCAGCCAACAGATACTTCAGTTTCGAGATAGCTTCTCTATATGCAAACTCCATATAATCGGCCGGTTTCCTCTTGTTTAGATCCATCTTTGTAGCTCCATTTGTTTTTCTAGAATATAATCGTTTCTATCGCTCAATGAATCAAATATAAAGATCTCTTCGAACAAAATAAATTTCAAATAAAGATAATAAATTGGCAGTCAGGATTTTAAACGGAAATAATATTTCAGTTCAATTTAAAAAATGTCTAATAAATGTCTCCAATTCGGTCTCGATTTCTTGGAATTTCAATCAACACCATTTAAAATTTGAATCATGATTTTTTCGATCACGGTCTTTTTAAAATTATTTTTTCCTAGATTTTTATTTCGCTCTATTATGTATGTAAATTTTCCCATTCGTAAATATATTCTTATTCTTCTTGTATATGTATATAAAATTATAATCGTTACATAATTTACAAATTTGCTCGTTTTTTTATTTATTAAGAAATAAAGAAAAATACTACACATGTGCACATAAAAAGACGTTCTTCCATTAATAAATAAGAATAAAAATAAATGAATAAATTCTAATTTCACCTATTCTTTAATCGCTTCATCCGTGCGACGCACGCCGGATCCGCGTAGTTGCTTATGTCGGGTGACGTTTTCAACTTGGTGATAAACCTCGGAAAGAATTTCGGGCGCGTTATACCCGCGTTGCCAAGGGTCGCGATACTCGTCGAACTGCCGGCTGCGAAGGGGTGATATTCACGGCGACCGTAAGCAGTGTTCGCTGCCAGCATTCTGAGCGCGTTCTACCTCGGTGAGGCACTTCCGGCTCCTCACTTGAAGAACGCTCGCCAATCGATGATACGCTCCTCCCGGTCGGGAGAAGAAAATCGAACGGCGTGCTTCAACATTGCATGTAGTAATTGGAAGAGCCTGGCGGTGGCTCGCGTGCGATGGTACCGTCCGACCTTCGGGAGAGGGGCAAGGTGATACCGTACCGTCACCGTACCACCACCGATATGTATGTTCCGTGACTTGTATTATTAGTCAGTAGCCAGCATACCTTTGACGATAAGGCATACCTACGGTAGACAAGAAGAGCGAACGCCGGCGCTATCGCCTCCTGACATTTTTCATGTCTCATTGTAGAATTCCTATGGAAACAGAATGATCAAACAGTGCGCAATGACCGCAACGACCACGACGATGATAGTGTGCGCAAACCAAGCTTTCATTTAGACACCACATTTAAAATAGAACAATTTTCAGCTGAAAAATTAAAAAATATATTTGAACATTTACTAAAGATTGCTACCTATCTGATTATATCGCAGCTTTAAAACTTCTTTTTTTTCTAAATAAAAATAAGGCGATCTTTTTTATAAATGAACGAAAAATGAGATTGGTGCAAAAAACATATATATATATTTATTTTAAAAAAAAATACAAAAATACAGACATAGTA